AACTTTATTTAAATTAGATTATTAAAAAATTTTATTTATATATCTTTAAAAGTTATTATTATTTAACTTATATACTTACATGTAAGTTACATGCTTATAACTTAGCTTACATTAAAAAATCAAAAATTGTTATAAATTTACAATTCTAATTCTGATTACCCATTATTTGTAGAAATTGTAGCAGAAAATACTTTGATCAATTATTGGTATTACCTAGAATTTCATTGTGATGAATTTATAAAATACTCCAAAATTTAAAAAACTTGACTACTAATATATAAATATAGATTTTGGCTAAGATAATCAACATTTCCAAGTTGTAATACATCATTTTAATAAATTTCTATGTTTAATAAGATGTGTCAGAAGTAGAAAAAATAGGTTAGCATATGGGAAAGATGGGTTAAACACATTATTAATCTAGATCAGAGGTTCAAAAATTTTTTGAAAGTTTATATTTATAGTTTAATATGTTAATTTGGCAACTAAAATTTAAATCTAAAAAACAAATGCTTAGTTTTGATGACCAAATTTTAGCTAAATTTCATAAATTTGCCATGATGTTACATCATAAAATCTTGTGTCTTTGAATCACCTGATCTACCTAAATCACCTACATCCCTATAGGAAGGCTTTCATATAATTGGCTGTTTAATCAATTTAATTTTACATTTTATACAGCTTAAAGTACTTTTTAAAAAAAATAAAACTACAAAAAGTAAACAAAAAAGAAGTATATAAAAAGTTTTATTAGGATTGTAGGACTTTACTATTAAAAATAATTAAATCTTTTTTTAGTTTAGTTTATTGTTAAAAAGTTGTTATAATAGTCTTACAACCCTAATAAAACTTTCTTTATACTTTTTTTTTATTTAAATTTTGTAGGTTTATAAATAATAATAATGTAAAATTAAATTAATTTAAACAGCCAATCATATGAAAGTCTTCTTATTGCTTATATCCCTTTAATATATTACCTAACATTTCTGTATCATCATATTTACTTTAATCATTCACATGACATTAACAAATGTTAAGCATCTATAGTAAGCTCTTCATGATTAAGCATCTTTCTAAAACTAATTAGTTGAAAGTAATATAAGCTGCCTTCTATTTATTTGTATAAATTATCATCTTTTACATATACTATTGGAGTTAAATTAGCTTATTGCCTATACTGTTCTATTCACTCTCTCTTTTCAATAGTTACACTCCCTTTCTTAATGCTTTTATATGAGGATTCATTTAGAATTCTAACATATTATTACATATTCCTTTCATTGAGAATGTTTTAGCTTCTTATTGTTTTACTCTGCCAACTATTAATATTTATACTAATTATATCACCTTTATAGTGTCTTGGTTTCTTTACTTATAGGATTTTAGACACAGTTATCTAGAATTATATGATCTATATTAAATTATTATAAAAAAAACAACTTACTTTACCTTAATTTCTCTTGCAATATTTAACATTTTTATAAAAGTAAAATGTTAATGAAAATTGTCTTTATAAAGTATTAATATTAGAATTTTATCTCACTAATTGAAATATATAAGTGTCTGCTATTATATAGTTTACTATAATCACATAGTAATTTGTTGTTCATGTTTTCTTATAAACTTCAAAAGTATATTAAGAGCGCTTTAACAAATATAATTTTATTTGTATATATTTATTGTTTTAAAAGTTACTAAGGATTAAATTTTTATAAAAACCCAGCTATTGATTTTACTATGTAGCCTGCATGTGGTCTGCATTATGTTTGTAAATTATATAATTCCAGACACTTAAATAGGTTATAACATATTTCAATTAGAGATAAAATTCTAATATTATTATTTTATAAAGATATTTTTTATTAAACATTTTGCTTTTATAGAAATATTAAATATTGCAAAGAAAATTTAGATCAAGGTAAGTTGATTTTTTTTATAATAATTTAATATAGAACTCAGATTCTAAAATTTTTATTATAAAAATTTTATATATGGGCTAGGTGCTGAGAAAAGAGCCCAAATTAACAAATCAAAAGATCAATTTTTGTATTGTAAATCTTATAATAAACTAGCGAATGATCTGTGTTTTCAACATGAAGATTTTGTAATTTATGAAGTAAATAACAATTAATTAGAGGAAGTTGTATTCAGTAATGTTTATATATAATTAATAATTCTTATTATTTAATAACTACTTATAACTACATAATAAATTAGATAATGTAATGCCAAATCAGATAAAGGGTAGTGATATAATGTTGTATTTAGTTGTAGCTTAAAAGTAAGTTTTCTTAAAGATTTGTTTCTGAATTCACCTTACATTATATAATCAGTTGTTTATTATCAGAAAATATTTATACTTTTCGAAAAATAGTATTAGTACTTTTTTATAGCTTAATAAAATTGTTTTACTTTATATAGGAACTAAATAAGCTTTTTTGTTTTCATGTAGCTTATTGTTAATAATTCATGTATTTGAAAGCAGAATGTATTCTGTTATAAATTTTATAAATAGTTACAGTTTAGGTATGTTCAATGAGTGCATCTTTAATTTACTTTGTTATAGAAGAATTAAATAAATGAATTGTAATTTATTAAATGTACAATTAATTATTTATTTATATGTTTTTGGTATAAAGTTTAACAGGTTTACATGTGAGTAATATTTATAAGTAATATTTAACATTTATAATATTGATAGTATATAATAGAATGACATGTAATATATTTTAAATTCAAAAATGAAATTTATAAAATATTATATAAGTTAGTAAATGAATTAAATGTAAATAAAATAAATAATAAAAATAAAAAAAACAAATTCAGAAATTTTAAAGTGAATAATACATATATATGCATAGACTGTTTTTGTATAACATAATGTTATACTAATTATCCAGATATAAGAATAGAAGATATAATTAAAAAATGTAGTTGTAATTTATAGTTCAAGTCTCTAAGCACTTTAGAGTAAACTATATTTGTTATTAATGTATTGTTGGTATTATTTTTAGAAAAAAGAACTTTTATAGAATATAAAGCAGTGCTATGTGAAAGATCAATATAAAGTTGTCTATATGGGAATACAGATATATGAAGGTCTAAACCAACATGCTTTATTGATTGTCTTTGTGACTTATTAATAGTTATTGCAAAAGCAATATGAATAGAAAACAGTCTTTTTTTGAAGATAAATAGAAGTTCAGAAGTTGAAGGATTCAAGGTGATGCAAAGAATAAATGCAAGACTTCTAGCATAATCATCAAATAGTATTTATGCTTCTATTATATGATTTGTAAGGTGTATTACAATTAAGTAAGTTCCATTGCAAAGTGCTTGTCCTAGAGCAATGTTTCTAAGAAGCATTAGTAGACAACCTATTTTGAGATTGAGTTTTGCAGATGGCTTTCTATTAGGATTAAGCATATTGAGAAATTTGACAAGGTAAATATTATTATTGTCAGCACTCTCTTCAATTACTGTATAATTAACACTATAGTATGTTCATTGACTTTCTGATAGTATGTCAAAAATTTCTTGATTAATATATTATATATCTTTATTTTGTAAAGAAAGAATAGTTCATTCACTAAAGTATTAATCAGTATATGTTCCTATTATATGAATATTAGGATATATTATATTAATAAATAATTTTAGATCTTGATTTAGCATTTTCATGTATTCAGGAAGAAATAATTTATCATCTACAGTATTCATGTCATTACTAGTCTATAAAGTGTTAACTAATAAATTTATATGTTAAAGATGAGTTATTAATATATTTTAGTTAAAAAAAAAAACAGAATTATAATTAACTTGCATAGTTATTGAGATCTGAAATATGTTTATTAAAAAATTATATTTACTTGTAAAAGTCAATGTGAAAAATATTTATTTTTGTCCAATTCTGTATTAAATTGCATATTTTTTTCTAGCATAAGTACTTTAATATACTGCTATAGATATAATCATTTGAGAGAAGCTGTTACAATTTCTTTTCTAAAATCTTTTATAATAATAGGAAGTATTTAACAAAAGTCTCTACTAAGAACTACAGTAATTCTACCAAATAGGTAATTATCATTACAAATATTTTGTAATAAATGGTCAACAGCTTCAACATAATGATAATGTTATATTGATACTTCATTCCAGATAATAAGAAATATTTGACATATCAGTTTAGCTTCTGTTAAATTTTTATTAATTGTGCAGAAAGAGTTTTTATTAATATCTAAAGAAATTTTGAACTTTAAATAAGCTGTATAACCAAGTTGTAGTAAAAGAATTGCAATATCTAAAGATGCTATACAAAGAACAATTTTTTTTGGCTTCAAATTTTCATTATAATAGTATTATATACAAAGGTTTTGTCAGTTCTTATATAACTGTTAAAAAAAATCATTTACTATTTTGATTAGTTACAAAAGTAGTTATAGCATAGTAAGCTTTTGTTTATTCATTGTTTAACATTAGAATATAATTATTAACAATAGTTCAAAGTTTTTGATAATTCCAAGACAATTGTTTACTAATAAGATTGTTTTTATTATAACATTTTCAGTTATATTGTTAAAGAAGTATTAGAAGAAACATTAAAAAATTGGTTTGATTGGTTAAGAATTTCATCTATTAGAAAAAGTTCAAAGTCAAAAATTTGACAGTTAGTAGGTTCACAAACATTATACTTTTTATATAATTAGTATTGAAGATCATTGCAAAGGTTAATATAGAAATGTAACTATAATTGTTTAGAATTAACAAAAGCATACTGTGTAAGTATAATAGCAAAAAGAACTCTCAGTTGAAATCTAGTATATACAGCAGTGGCTTCTTTAAGACATTGAGACTATTCTTTGTCATCTTTCAATAATTATAAAGCTAAACATGCACTTTTAAATGTTAAATAAGTTGTATTGTTAATAGTTTTAGATAATTAAATAACTTTGAACTATGTACAGTTATAAGAAGAAGGCAAAGATAAAATTATTTATCTACTAAGAGTCTAGCAAAGTATAATTGCCCAATTGCAAACCTATGCTTTCAAGATATTTACTTTTTAAGATTTTTATTTCAAACAAAATATTGAAGAAATTCTTGATAAATATATTAACAGGCAGATTCAAGAGTTGCATATGTTTTAAAGAAAGCAGTAAGAGTTGTTTTTTGATAATTAGCTTGTGCTAGAATAGCCAAAGTATTATTTGTAGGATTAAAGATAACTAAATGCATTTCAGGTGATGTAACATGAGCCTTACAACATTTGAAACTTCTTTATATATAGACATACCTAGAAATTAGAAGTTAGCAAAGTAATAGATAAATAATAATTTGTTATTAGTATTTTTTTGCTTATTTATATTTATTATTACTAATTATTGTTTATTGTAATTAATTATTATTATTATTCATTGTAGTTTATATATATTAATTTATTAACAAAAACTAAAAAATGTGATTAAATTTGTTTTGTAAATGCTGTTTTTTTTTTTTACATATTATTAGTATTATTATAGAAATTCTTAGTAGTTATATCTATTAATAATAAGTAAAGAATAAGTGTTCATAATTAATTATGTTTAGATATGCCTAAATAATGCCATGCAGCTTCAGTAGCACCAATATATCTTGCATCAATATATAGCTTAATTTTATTTTGTTCATAACCAAATTGCATTGTTGTTCTATCATAATTTCTAAAATATATTTATAAATATATTTTACTGCTTATACAAATAAACATATCTTAATGTTAATATGACAGTTGTATTTTTGACTTAGGTTAAGATTATATGGAATAAAATCTCAATTGTTAATAATTTTGTTGATTTCAAAAGTTAATTCATTATTTTTTTTAGTATATAGAAAGTATTCATTGTTACTTATCAAACTTGTATTACAATAGGCCTTAGAGTAATTTTTTTTATATTTGTTATTTATTATATACAGAGTATACAAGTTATGAAGACTACAAGAACTATGAATTATGCAATTAAATATTATATTAAAGAGGTTCAGATCATATTGTTTGTTGAAAAATTTAGTACATACTATTTTGGCAACATCTACAGATTCTTTAATCTTACTATTATTGTAAAGAAAAATTAAAAAATGCATATGTGAAAGACTATGTTTTTAAAACTCAATTGTGTATACATATGTGACAGTTTTACTAAAAAAATTATTTTTTTAATATTATAAAGGAAAGCACAACACTTTAAGTCAAAAATATGTGCAACTAAATCAGACTGATCTACAGTAATCTGGCCAGAAAGTAGTTCATTAATTATTTCAAGCCATTTAGAATTTGTAGTTATTGATTCAAATATATCAGAGTGGTTATAAAATCAGATAATTGTTATCGAATTCTAAAATATTTAAACATTTGTCAAGCATTTCTAATGTGAATAAAAAGGAGAATAACGCTGCATCTAAGGGTACTTAAAGATAGTTCATTATCATTATTATTAATAACATCTGTAAGATCTTAGTAGACATCAGCATGTAATATATCTTAATTCATTTGTAAAAATTGTAGTTTATTTTGTTCAGTTGCAGCCCATGCATTAACTATAAATACTTAAAATAATTTTTTATTATAAAGAATCATAGAAAATTTATTATGTCTTAGAAAAAGGTGAAAAGAGTAATAATTTAATTAAGTAAGATGTAATATATTAGTTTGAGTTTTAAAAGAGTGTGTTTGTATATTAATTATAGTATAATGTATGTCAGAATCTGTCTAAGTTCTTTATAAAGAAAAAATAAGACATAATGAAAAGATGAATAAGCAGAATGCTCTTCATAAATTATTTAAAATAGATTTTTACAAAGTTGAAGAACAATATTATACATTATTTTAGGAATAAATCCATCATCAGATAAGATTATGCCAATTTTATTCACAATAGAAAGATTGTATCTATATTGATCAGTTAATTAATTAAAGTAATGATAAACTATTAAGTTTGTTATTCTTCTTCTTTTCTCTTAAGTTTGAAGTATTTTATATACTTGCTAATATATAGGATAAAACATATTATATTGTTATAAAAAATTTTGTATCTCCTATATTGTATTTGTTGTTAAAGGTTCATTACATTTCATTCTTAAACAATAAGCTATCTTAGAGTCACATATATAAAGCTGAGCATAGGTTGCTTCAATATGTAAGTCAGAAAGCAAAGAGCCTATATGATGATATAATTTACTATTTATATAAAACATATATAGTTCATAGCTGTTAAGAACTAATCAGTCAATGTTAGCTCCAAGTAAAATAAATGCATATGCTGTATTATATTGTTGAATATTTGTTAAATTTTTTAGAATATTTATCTTCATTAGCAGAATAAATATATGAAATATTGTGAAAGATTTTGCATACCAAAAATCTTTCGAAATAACTGTGATTGATATGAAATTATTTCAAAATAAAATAATTTCATAATACTGTGAAAGAAATAAAATAATTTAAAAAAATTTCAGCTATTTTAAAAATTTTAAAAAATAATAAAACTAAAAAAAATAAAAACATAAATTGAAAATATTTAGAAATAATTAGAACAATTTAAAATATTTTGAGATGATCAAAATAATTTTAAAATATTTTAAAATAAAAGAAAAATTTTTGAAATAATTAAAAAATTTCAAAATAATTTTGAAATATTTTGAAAATTATGAAATAATTTTTATTGATAAATTTATTTTATTTTATTTGAACTTTTGCTATTTACATATTTTAATATTTAATTAATTTTTTTATTTGATTAATAATAGCAAATTTAATTATTTTTAATATATATCAACTTTATTTAATTGATTAAATATCAAATACAAATAAAAAATAAAAAAAATAAAAAAATAAATATCTATATAAAAATTTAAAATTCATAAAAAATTTTGAAGTAATTCAAAAAGTTTTAAAAATCTGTAAAACAACTAAAGATATATTAGTAAATAAAACAAAAAAAAAACAAAAAAGTTTTATTTAAAAGTTAAATTTCTGTATATAATTCACTTAAATTTAGCTAAAAAAAAAAAAAAGATTATTTGAAAATAAAAAAAAACAAATAAAAAAGTTTTATAATTCTTCTTTAGTATCTTGATTTTTATTAGATAAATCTAAATTAAATATTAATAGAATCAGTGAATAATTTTAAAATAAAATGAAATAATACTAAGTTATTTGAAAATTATTAAATAAATATAAAAATAATTAAAAATTTTAAGAATAATCGGACACAAATTGCTAACTCTTTCCAATGATCACTTGTACCAAAATCCTGCTAAAGAAAATTTAATTTTCTTTAACAATTTATAATTAAATATATCTTTTAAACCAAATAAAACTGTTCTTTATTATATTTTATATATACATACAAAATTTTATATCGCTAGCTTAAATATTAAATAAATTAAATAACTATTTGTCAAAACACTTTAAAATCGCTTATACTCAAATTCAGCCTAGGAAACTTGTCTTGTGCTCTAAGACAAAGTTATTCAACTCACCTCTGACTTCATTTTGATATAAGTTTCATCAAAAATGAAAAAAAATTAGTCATTTTATGAGCAAAAAACTCTAAACAGCTAATTTTCTTAAAATTTTCTAAAAATTTGTTCTTTTCTCTTTACCCTCTCCAAATTCGGATCTCAAACACATTTTACAACACTATTTTTTAGTGGTTCATTCAATTTACTATTATTTTATAACTATTTTCCTTTTAGTTTTTAATTAATTAACACAAAAACAAATAATTACAAATTTGTATTTATTCTAAAATTACACAATTTTGTGTATACCTTTTCTATTTTTAGTAGAAGTTACACAAGCCCACATTGTACCACAAGCCACACCAGCCACCAGCCACAGCCACACTAGTCACAAAAAGTAATACAAAGTGTACAACATTACATGAACAAAAAATTACTTTCTTTCGAAGCTGTTATTATTCTCTTCAATAATATCAAAATAATATTAAGCCAAAATGCCTACCTTAATCACTGATGAACCTGATTCTCATGATTTAGACTATTATTATAATAAATATCCTGATCGCTTTGGAATTAGCACCAAAGAAACTGACCCACTTACTTTATGCATCTTGCCTAAAGATGTTAACCCTACAAAATGTGAACTTAATAAGCAACAACACTACTTTAAAATGCCAATTCAATCTATATTATCTACTTGTTTATGTAACAAATACTATACCAACTTCACCTCTAAACACTACAAAATTACACACACTACACCTCCTCATCAATCTTCTAGCTCAAGTGCAATGGATATTTCTCTGATTACAGTAATTTCTAAAAATCACTTCAACAATATTATTGACAAACTACCTAACTTAACTATTTCTAAACAACAACAACAAAGTTTTCTATCTACCTTTCAAATCTTATCATCCTCATTCCATCACCTATGACAATTGTTCCACATTTTCAACATTATCACACATGCATTCTATGCAAAAAGAAAGATATTTCATACATTCTTATTTAAGAAACATGTTATGCATCAGACTACTCTATAGCTGTAATTTTTAAAAGTTTTCTATTTTACTGAGACTGTGTTCACAGTCTTCAATATACCAAACTCAAACCTCTTCTCCAAACTTAAGAACTCACCAAAGAATAATGATCTATTTTTTATCTTTTCTACTGCTATAAACTTACCAAAGAAGAAAAAATCAATTTTTTTCAACAACTCACTCTTAGAAGAAAAGAAAAGAAACAAAATTCTAAACAAACAAAACAAAACCCATAACAAAAAAATACAACTAACCAACCCAGAGATATTTTTAATGACCTGGACTGGTTTCTTAACTACTCAATTACTAAAAACATAGAACTAAATACCTAACTTAATACATCACTTGCTCAACAACTTTTTAATTTCTCAAAAACTCACCTCCGCAAATTTACTCCTGGCCAACTAATTCTATTTACTTCAAATAATACTCAACTAACTACAAACCAAAAACCTTCTCAAAAACAAAGCTTTAACTATCTACTTAAAACAATGGCTGCTGAAAAACCAGAATTCCTTACAAACTTCCTTCGTCAATCTAATCTATTACTTTTACTTCAACTAAATATTTTACAATATGCTTATATCTTAACACTTAAAAATCTACTTACCAAATTTACTGAACTTCTTTTTACCAAACTTAACTATCTACATATCTTTCGTTCTCATTACTCAATCTCACCCTATCCAATTT